TTTAATTAATATATAATAAATTTGTTTTTAGAACTTAATATTATAGTATATATAATCCTAAAAGTATAGTTTAAAATGACATTCATTAGATTTAATATTATTAATAAACTTTTTAATTTATTTTATAAAATGTGATGTATCAGAAGTGATGATACGGCCTATACTACCAATAGTAAATCTTTGTTGCTACCTAAGGCAACTATATGATCTAATAATGGTGTAATGTTGTAAATTTCGTCTTCAGGTTCTTTTGGTGGATTCATTTTGAAAATCTCCAACATTAATTTCGCAATGTCTTTATTTCTTCCTATTGGTAGCCCTCTGACCATTCATGTGCTTCACTTATCAATGATCTGTATGCTGCAATCATATTATATGACTTTTATTCCCTGGCCTTTTTTGTAAGAAATTGTATGATATCCGTTACAGGGCAACAAATGGGATCTTTTCTATTTTTTGAACATCATAAGGTCCATATTCGTAAGTTCGATAAAACAATGGTAGTGGAGTTTTGGTCTAGTGATTTACATGATACTTCGATAGCTTCTTCTAAAACTCCTTTCTTCTTAAGGCGTTCTCTGAGATAAGCTATGTGCACATTTTCCATAGGATATTGTGATATGGTAAGTGTCCTGATATAGGTCCTGGTAGTATCAAGTTCTTGGGTGGTAGCATCTGTGGTAGATCTATTATTAATTCGGTCATAGTTGGGAACCATACTGCTGATGTCCACAGAGGTGTCACAATACATATTGTTGCTCGTTTTTTTTGTGTCTTGGCCAATATTCTCGGGATCAATATCCATGGGGGATTGGCATAACATTTCATTGGTACCCATTTCTGGGTGAATGCATCTATTGCTATTGGCTTCGGGTCTGGGAACCAAGATATGTAAGTTTGTATCTGTGCGTTCAATTTGTTTGCAAACAAGTCTATATCGAATAGTCTTCACAGGTTGTTTAATTTGTTAAAAACTTCGAGGTTTAGCATCCAATCGTGTTTGTTGTATTTTAGATATAAGGCATAATCTGCTAGTGTATTGTCTATACCCGGTATGTGTTGTGCCGTCAGATTGATGTTTTTCTGGAGACAATTCTCCCAGATTTGTTCTGCTATCAAACTGATTTCTGGGGAGATCATGCCCCTTGATGATTAATGTACACTATACAAGTTGTGTTGTCTGTCCTTATCAGCACTGATTTGTTCAATAGATCCCTAAACGACATCAGTGCAAATTGAATTGCTTTCATTTCTAGAACGTTGATGTGTAATTTCTGTTCCGTGCTTGACCATAGCCCATTTATCAATTTTCCTTCTCGACTAGCCCCCCAACCGAGCTGTGATGTGTCGGTATATATTACTGTTGATGATATGTTTGACTTTAGTGACTGTCCATTCCAGTTTTTCAACTGACTTGTCCACCATTTTAGTTGGTTTACTGCTTTTTCTAATATTTCTAAAGAGGCATTTCAGCTTTTTGCTTTTATTGTCCGGTTTTTTAGTCTTATCAGTTCCCTTGACTTCAACTATGCCAGAAGTACTGCATTTGTTGTAGCCAATAGTTTCCCAATTAGGGATGCTAATTTCCTAACCTTTATTGTCTTCATTTGTGCTACTAATGAACATTTCCTTCTCAGTTGCTTTATCTTTTCTTTTAGAAGCGATAGAGTCATTTCTCTTAAATTTAACCTGAAACCTAGATAATCTATAGCTTGTGTGGGTTCGAGTTGACTCTTTTGTGTATTTATTATGAAGCCCAAACTGTTTAACATGTCTAACGTTTTGTTGAGATGTGCTAGTACTTGATCCTTCTCTTTCGCTATCAATATTAGGTTGTCCAAGTACGCCACTACTCGAATGCCCTGAGATCTCAGTGTCTTCAGAACTGGACACATTACTTTCGTGAAAATTTGCAGGCTGGATGTTAATCCAAAGGGTAGATATTTGAAGCAATACCTTTGTCTCAAAAAATCGAATACTAAATATTTTTTGGCAGAAGGATGTAATAGTACGTGAAAGAATGCATCTTTTATATCTATCAACACTATATAGTTGTTTTTTCTGACAAGGTGTTTTACTGTAAGTATGGACTCCATTTTGAAATGTTTGTATTTTATGTATGTATTTAGTGATCTTAAGTCTAGCACTTCTTTCCATTTTTCTTGTCCAGTATAATTAGGTCTAATAAGAAGCATAGTAAATTTTTTCAATCACTTGCGCGTCCCATAAGGCTTGTATCTTGTTCTTTGTAATCTCTAGATTTGTTGAAAATTTCATAAAACGCTTCTGTTGGTGAATTCTTAATGGGGTTTTGAGCTCCATTCTGGAAAATAACCATTTGATATGATTGAGGTGGGCTATGAATTGCCAAATGTTTCTAACTATTTGTGTTTGAATTTCTTTAAACGTTCAGGAATCTGGATGTTCATCAGGTTCGTGGAGTCCGGCAGTTGTCTGTTTGAAAATTTCCTTGTGTGGGCCCTGGTTTTCTAACCGTTTTGTCATATGTATGGCGTCTTCCACCTTGAGAATGGTAAGTGGTGTTTTGGTTTCTGTTATTAGGAAACCCTTGTGATTGTATAGGTGCCAGAAATCTACGTCGCTCTTTGTTGGCATCATTATATAGTTTAGACTTGGTGTTTTCTTCCTCCACTAATCCTTTGAGTTTTTCGCCAAAAACTCCTTTTTTATCCTTAGTAGTAGTGTATAATGGTGATATAGCTTTAAGTGTGATGTCTCTTCTGTAATTATTGGCATATAATAAAGCATCTCGTAGCAATTCTCTTGCATTATGGTTTGATTTTTGTAGTAGCTCGTACCCTGCTCTTGCTTCTGTATCCTTATCATCTGGTTTTGAATCATAAAGTATTTTCTCAATGTTATCAATGGGGCGCAAAATAGCAGAGGTGTGATAAGAAATGTTGCAGATGATTTTGTCAAACTCCTTTTGTTGCTTTGACATAGCTCGTAAGAAATATTGCTCCATCTGTGGTGGTTGGTAATCGACTTCAGCATTACGTGGTTCACTGCGTAGTATTTTCTGACGTTCAATCTTTGACAATGTACAGTCTGAATATATTTCTGTGGGTAAGTTTCTAAGTTCACCCGTGAGAAACCACGGCTTTGGTTCATCATAATCGTAGCTATCCTCCAATTCTTGTTCAATAACCATGTCATTAATGTTTGTTTATTCGTTTTGTTCGGTAGACATTAATTTGTCACGACAATTTTAATAAATGAGAGTATTTTATTGAGAGCGAACAGCACAAAAATAAAACGGCCTAAGTGAGATTTAGTGCCTTCTAGAGGTATATATAAAACAATAATAGAATTAGACTATATTGTGTAACAATATTGTACTAAACTTTAGCTTAGAAAAATTGGCACCAATAATAAAGCAGGCCACAAAGCATGTGATCTTATTATATACTATAACGTTTATTTTTTACTTTATTAGAACTATTGTTTTATATAGATTTTCAGCTTTTAATTATTGCAATTTTTGTGATCTTGTAAAAATTTTAAACAAAATTTCATGAATTTAAATTTTTAATATATAAAATGTACACAATGTCAAATATTATTACTACAGTATTTTTTAGTTTTATTTAATAACATTATAAATACTTTTTAATAATTTGCCTAGAGTATAGATTAAAAAGATAAACAGTGCTAATTGGTATCTATCACTGCTAAGTCAGGTAAATTAACAATCAAATAACTTAGCTATTAAATAACAGGGACTCAAAAATGTTGAAGTACTGCCAATTTTTTAAATAAACTCTAAGATGATGATATTTAAAATTTTTCATACACCCATCTCCCACCAGCTTTTACACCTTTTACTTTGATTGGCGGGAGTTCCCAACTTTTAGGGCCAAAACAAGGTGTGACATACGCGGTCATTTCGTCATCGTTCCTCCTTAATCTATTTATAAGAGAATAACGTTACATTAATTCAAAAAAATAATAACTAATGTAAATAATTCACTACATACTTGGGTGCTGGAAGTTCTTTTGGTTTAGAAAATACGCACAAAGACTTTCCAAGCTTCGGAAGCCACTCCGGTTTTATAATTGTAATACCTGCATATTGAAATTAAAAAATTAGATATTATTCTGAACCAATGTGGTAGTACCGTATAATTAAAGTACATGGTCAATACGATACCTTTCATCCACACTTTATTTGTTCGTTGTAATTCTTGAAAGACCACAAAATCTGGTGGCTTCCCATGATACAAAACGGAAGAAGGGTGAATAAAAACATCTTCATCCGTCCACATGGTAGAATATGAAATGCCTCTTGTAGAAGAAAATGCTTTCGTAGTCCCGTCTACTAAATCTTTTCGTATAGCAACTTGATCAATAAACCCGGCCGCAATAATTTGGCGAAGAGCTTCGAGCTAATGTTGTAATTTAACAATTATTTAAATTTCAACGGAAATATGTATTGAAAAAAAAGCTATTTAAATTATACCTGGATAGCAGAAGGCGGTTTCATTTTTGGATCTACATACACATCGACTCCCTGACAATTAGTTTGAACAATGTTCGTTATCTGACCTCTTAATTTATGTATTTCTTGCATAGCCTAACAATTGAACAACCTTCATTAATTGCTAATAAAAAAGACTAATGCCAAGATACATAATGAAAATTACCTTTATCCGAACAAAATTATCTTCACAAAACTTTTCACTACCTCCAGAATATTCATATGCACCGACAACATTTAAGAATTTTAATATGTCACTCGTTGGATCAAGTCCAGAGTGTCTCTAATCACAAGGATACGATGATTATTAATAACCTAACAAAAATGAAGTTTTTTCCAATAATACTTCAACATACCTTTTGGACGTCATAAAATTTCTTCCGCATCAATTTTCGACGTTCCTTTTTAAAGATTACTTCTTTTTGAATCTCATTTAATTCCTTCGTTTGAACGTAATCTTCCAATTCACCTTTGTCACTCTCATCATCTGAATCAGTACCATCAATATGGTAATCTTTAATGAAAGGATCACCAACTGATAGGGCTGATACAATGGCAATGACATATGGAAGACATTCATGTTGCTGTCCAATTATTAACATTTTGGAAAATCTGGGTGTAAGAGGAAATGTCGCCATTGCGCGTCCCAAAGAAGTAATTTGACTATTTTCATTCAATGCACCTATGTATCGTAACAATGTTTCTGCCTTTTTCAATTGATCGCGATCAGGTGGTGTTGGGAATGGAAAGTTAGATACAGTATCAATATTCATCGCTTTCATTTGTAGTATAACACCTTCTATAGGTGTTCTGTGAATTTCAGGAACTGTAAATTGTTGAAATTGATCGTTGAACACGGCTGAGGAATACAACCGATAACAATGACCGGGGCCAGTTCGACCTGCACGACCTGCACGTTGATCAGCAGATGCTTTTGAGATCCAGTCAATTACATAAGATTGAACACCAGTACTTGCATTATAACAGCGTTCTTTAACTTTCCCACAGTCAACAACATATGTAACACCAGGAATAGTTAAAGAAGTTTCAGCTACATTAGTTGCAACAACACAAAGACGCGTTCCTTCAGGTGGTGGCTCAAACACGCGCATTTGAGCCCGAGTTGAAAGCAAGGAATATAGCGGGAGAACATATAAAGGCCCAACTTATATAATAATAGCAAATCGAATATATTAATTAACATGATCAAATTCAATTTCAACAAATAATAATCGTAATTGAGATAATAAACCATATTCATTGTCCAGTCCATCATTTTCGAACTCGGTGATAGAATCTTCAGAATCCGTATCAAAATCATCATAGTGATCAAGATAATCTTGGTCATTTTCACCTATAACCAATTCTTCTATTTCACAATCAACTATAAATTGATAAAATTAATGCCAAATATGTTTACAGAAATGAACATTCATTATAGAAAATACCATTTCTATCAGAATGTCCTCCGTGAATATATTCGTTAAGTTCATCAATTGGCGTTTCTTCCTTAATTGCTGCCCTATTTCGATGAGTTCTATCTGACGATATATATGGAAACTTATTACGAAGTTTCTTGCAAAGAGTAGATATTTCATTTTGTCCCGTCATGAACACAAGAATTCCTAAATCCAGAATTTAATCATCAATCATTATCACTAAAGCTCAACAAAAATTAATTAAACCAACCTCCACGCGGAAGTCTTGTGTGAATCTTGCAAACCTTCCTAAATGCCTCCGTAACGTAATCAATACGTGGGGTTCGTTTATTGAAATGGATTGAAACCTAAGACGAAAATAAATCAATTTTTGCTTCTTTATTCAATAAAATTTAAATAACCTAATATATCTTACAGGATATTGTCGTGCATTAACATTTATGACTGGAGGTAGAATGTCAAATAACCTTCTATTCTGTGTAAAATCTGAAATGCGTAACGTAGCTGACATGATGATAATCTTTAAAGGCTATAAAAGAAATTACACTATTAGTCATGATAGTCATAAATAATAATAACTTTGAATGGAAAATTAGCTACTTTAATTTTTGATTTATCTTCCTCACTCAATTCTTTGCGCAATCGAAGAACGCGACTAATAACACCAATCAAGATATCTGTGTTCAGACTTCTTTCATGTGCTTCATCAATTATAATTGCTGAATATTTTGACAGTAGGAAGTCTCCAGAAAGCTCGCGAAGCAAAACACCGTCCGTCATAAATTTAATAACAGTTTTTGACGAAACAGTTGCATCATAACGAATCTGAATTATTGAATTATCGAATGAATTAAACAAATACAGGTTCAAAAAAAAAACAAAAAAAAAAAACAAGAATTTCTTAATATATTATTAATCCAACCTGATATGATACTCGTTGGTCATCGAGTGATAACTCTTGCGCTACGCGCTTTGACATACTCATGGCAGCAACACGACGAGGTTGTGTAATGCCAATAATTCCCGGATTGTCTTACATCATACAAATATTTGTTAGCATAGTAATATGAACCTTATGTATTTGTTTGAAAGTAAAAAACGTGTCGCACATACCACTTTCTGGATTTCCAAATCCAGCCTCATAAAGAAATTGAGGTAATTGTGTTGTTTTTCCGGATCCTGTTTCTCCACAAATAATAACCACGGAATTCTCATTAATCGTTTCCATTATGGCTTGCTCATCTTCGCATACTGGTAATTCCATTCTTGTAAGCTGAATTTCTTGGCTTCTTTTAACAGGAACATTGAAAGCCTTAAAAATAAAGAACCTGCAAATAAGAGCTCATTGTTCGTTGATGAGGTTTTAAATGACTGTTTAAGTAAAATAAAACATTATAAATACCTTTTTTGCGTGTTTGGGTACATGCGTGATATTATTTTTTGACCCATTATTCTCAATACAACTATCAACTGTGATATCTATACCATCTTGAATATCAAATTTTGGTGTAGCCTGTTCACTAAGATTAACACATTTCTTTTGAAAATTCTCTGTATTCTCTGATGATAATTGGGTGTAGCTGCTGGCAGTGTCAATATGTTGAGAACTTTTGAACCCAATTCCCAACTGTTCTGTCGCCCATTCTTTAAAAGATTGTTTTTTTCCACATGAAGTTGTTCCTAATAATGCTTGATTTTCTATAACTGAATTAGGGGAGTCATTGCTTACAATCTTTTTGTCAACATCGCATTGTGAATCAGAACTGTCGAATGAATCATCTTCATAACTTTGTAAAGAATTTTTTTTCAAAAATTCAGGCTTAATATTAATAAATGAATTATTGCATTAATTATTGCATTAATTATATTAATAAAATTAAAGTTAAGTATAACATAAAATCATTCTTTATGTCGTGAAGGAATACCTTTGATTTCTTTTTTTTTTTTTTTTTCTTAATGGGTATTATAAACTCACCATCTGGACCTCGCTTAAGAGCACATCCAATAATGGTATTTTGCGCATATTGATCAGCTTTAGGTTTGGTACATTCTTTTTGAATAGGCAAATTAGACGTTCTGGCATCTGTGTTCATGTGATTATTAAGTGTTTCATCTACGCTGCCTTCATCTATGCTGCCTTCATCTACGTTGCCTTCATCTACGTTGCCTTCATCTACGTTGCCTCCATTCACGTTGTCTTCATCCGTGTCGTTGTCACCATCATTGTTCACGAATAAAGGCACATCCGGATCAGATTGAGCAATTCCAAGACGTTTTTCATAAAAGGCTCTGCGAAGTCGTTCTTTCATTGTGTCTTTCTATTAAATTTACACACGCATGAGGATATACATAGTATCTTCTCCCGATAATGATGGGAATTAAATATTAACATTATCTTACTCCTCTTCCCAAATTTTTGCTCGATTTCATTAATTCCGATGAAAATGATGATTTCGAAAGCTTTTCAAGTAGAGCAACTCGTTCTTCTTTTTTATTTTTTTTTTGCTAATTCATAATAATGGTTAGATACGTGGCCAAAACACTATCCAAACTACTCATGTGATATACAATATTTCACCAACCACATATTTTTCAAATCTTTTCTTTTTTTTACTAGACATTTTCTTCGTTGAAGCTTCCATATTTGATTCGTTCTATTTACTTCGCGTTCAGAAATTCTAGAAATACTGAAATAGTGATAATCTTTTATCATGCATTATTTCACATGAAAATCACGTGAGCGTGTTAATTTTTTTAAGAAAATTTGAAATGAGTGAATTTAGATTCTCAGTCATGAACGAGGCCAATACTTTGAATGAACAAGAACAATTACGGACTCTTGTCCGTCAGCAGGCTGAAGAGTTACAAAGGCTTCATGAATTGTTGAAAGCTAACAACATTGATGAAGGTAGTCTTTCGGTAAGCTTTGGTTAAACTAATATAACTGTTCAATTTGTTCGGCAAAGCTTATTGACGTCTTCGGCTCGGTTATTTCTCTCAAATATCTTTTTAATTTCTTTGTACTACTAGAATCGAACAAAGGCACTTCAGCAGGTGGAACAGAGCGAGCAAAGTATTAATAAATCTCTTCAAGAACAATTGAATTATGTAAGTTTACAGCTTACACTATACCATCCTATATGCACTCTACCTATCAATATAATTTTATATTCATAAACAAAGGCTAGACAAGAAAAGGCTAATTTGGAAGCATCTATAGAGGCACGCGCCAAATCGTTTCAGAATGCTCTGTCAAAATTGCAAAGTAATCAAGGGTCAGTAATCAATGATTTTTTTTTAAAATAATGTAATGGCACGTTTCTTTATACAAGTAACTCTCGATATAAGAAATCCTCGATGTAAGAAACTCTTGATATATGAAACTCTTGATATAAGAAAGATTTTATAAGCCCCAATTGAAATTTTATAATAAAAAGCCTTTTGATATAAGAAAATCTCGTTATAAAAGAGATTTTGGTTGGACCCGGTGACTTTCATATATCAAGAGTCAATTGCATTTGTTATTGAGATGAGTTATACGAGTTTTTTTGGGAACTGATATTCCACACCCATGTAGATCACTCTTTTTTAAAATTTTGATCAAAGATATCTCGACAACTTCCTAATGAAATTCAATGGAGTTTTTTATTTGAATTCTACGAATCTGTAGAATTCAAATAAAAAAAAAAGTCTATCGAATTTCATTGGGTGGCTATCGAGATATCTTTGGTCAAAGTCATGAAAAATTTTGCCGCGGCTTATATTTTGACAGACAGTTGAAATTTTTTTAAAAACTTTGATCAATGAAGTTTGATGAGCTTTTTTTTTTTTGAATTCTACGGATCTATAGAGTTCAAATAAATAAGTTCATTGAACTCTGTTAGATGATTGTTGGGATATCTTCGATCAATGTCATAAAAATTTTGCCGCGGCTTATATTTTTATAGACGTTTGAAATGTTTTTAAAATTTTATCGAAAATATCCCGACAGCTGTCCAATTAAATTCGATGTGCTTTTTTTTATTTGAATTCTACAAATCTATAGAATTCAAATAAAAAAAAAGTTCATCGAATTTCATTGGTGATTGTCGAGATATCTTTGATTAAAGCCTTTAAAAAATGAGTTACATGGATGTGGAAATATCAATTTCTTTTTTTTTTTTTTTTTTTTTTTTTACTATATGCGAAATGTTTGTTGTTTTGCTGAAGGTAATATTATTCAATAACCTTATAGTTATCCATTATAGGGACACTAGCTCAGGAATATCACCTTCGCCTTCCGATTCACAAAAATTAGTGCTAAGCTCTCAAGATCCTATTATTCTGCGACAAGAACTTCAAAGTGCATATGAACGCATTCGACAACAGGAGTTAGACGTCAAAAAATTAAAATTTGAACTCGAAATGGAGCAAGGACATGTTAATATATTAAGGCACGACAATCAAATGTTAAGACAAATGACTGTCGATATGGTATGTGCGTAAAGTAATATGATTCATCTTTGCGTACTGTGTATGTCTTGTATGTTTTGTGTCTCCAGTTTTCAATTTTATCTGTTAACTAACCTAACTATTAATCTTCGGGGTTTTTATTTTTTTTGAATCCATTCATCATCCATCATTTTCAAAGCACGTATCAGCGGAGCAAGAGGAAGAATATATTTCGAACAAATTACTAAAGCGGATTTCTGGCTTGAAAAAAGAGAAAGGCGAATTGCTTCTACAAGTTGAACAAGAGGAAGAATATTTAACCAATACATTGCAAAAGAAACTAAATCAAGTAATTACTGTTTTTTTTTGCCTGCTCGCTTTATGATTTGAAAAATTAATAAATTTCTTGTTAAATATAGTTACAAAAAGAAAAAATTGATATGGAAAACGCACTTGAACAGGAGCAAGAGTATATTGTGAATCGTCTTCAAAAACAACTAGATTCACTGCGTCAACAGCAAACTTACCATCCACATCACTCACGTGAAAACAGTACTTCATCGGTTTCTAATACAGGAAATGTTACGCCTTTACCTCCGGCCTCTCCATCTTCCACGTGAGTTATTTTCAAAATATCGTTTAGTGCATAAATAATTATGTTTCTAAATCTATCCTTAAGTCATAAGAAGTGGATTCCTCCTCATTCGTCCTCACCAACATCACCGGATTTTGGTGTGGCATCCCAAGGTGCTGTAGAGGTCCTTAAGGCTGAGATTAATAGTCTCAGAACTAGAACTGCTGAGATTGAAAAGGAATGTATGTGTATATTTTATATTCCATTATGCCATTATTGGCTTCGTATTTGTTTAAGTACCTGATGAATCTTTTTAATGTGATGGGTGAATAGACATTGCTAAGTCAAGTCAGGCAACTCGGTTTAAGAATGAATTGATAGAGCTTAGAAAAAAAGCAGGTTTACCTGTCGATGATTTACTTGTCGAAGAACCGTAAGGAATTATTTAGAGTGCTTTTCAAATTGCTGAGGTTATCAGATGATCGCGTATCACACAGAAATCTCTAAAATCCTTTCAAATTCGGGGATTTTTCCACAAATTTCCGCCATATTTCAATTCTCTACTAGTTTGTAGTTAGTTGACCAAGAGTCATCGGTTTTTCTTCGCCTAAATTTTTACAAATTTTGAGCGAAGATACCTTGATAATATTCTGTTTATTTTTAACATTCAAAGCTACTTTCAAATTCTACAGACTAATAGAATTTGAAAATGGTTTTGAACATTGAAACTTACTAGATTATTATTAAGAAATCTTCTATCAAAGTTTGAAAAAAACGCCCAATATTAGAACGGTTTAATATCGATATAATAAGTTGGCTAATATTTTTTAGCCAATTAAATAATAGTATTTAGTGGATCCAGATTTCTGTGTGGTATGTGATGTATAAAATTTGATCATAGTAATTTGAAAAGCACTATAAACTATTATTCAATCGTGTAACTTAAAACGCATGAATTCATTGCGATGTATCTCATATAAACCGATTATTTACAGTATTCCCTTGTTTCTAAGACATGGTAGTCCGAGGACCATAAGTGCACGGAGATCGAATTCGGGAACATTGAATACTGGTAATATAATCCGCACGTTCAACCGTGGTCGTTCTGTGTCGACCAGCGACGTAAAGCCTCAATGAACAACCAATTTTTTCTTTTTTTTTTTTTGTATTTGTATTGGCTTAAATCTGACTTTTAACGACAATAATAAAAAAATAAATAAAAAAAAAATAAATAAAATTATTCCTATTTGGTCGTTTTTGTATATGTAAGACAGGCGGGTATTTTGGACTATGTTTATGCCCATCCGATTCTTAGTGAATGATATAAAAATTATTCTGAATCTGATGAGTTATCTCAATTTGTATTTAATTCATTATATCATTTTTTATACCAAGAGCACTGCATTTATTACACGATAGGCAGGGAAAATACTATGTAATCGAAATAGCGGGCATGGCGTTATTTCGAATTTTGGCCCGAATTAAGCTTAATACGGGCCAAAATTCGAAATAACGCCCATGCCCGCTATTTCGAGAATTTACGGTAGATAAGATGGATAAATCCAAAGAGGAATTTTGAATGATCTTTAGAAAGGGCCATATCCTTTAGACCAAAGTAATTGCATAAAATATCATTTGATATTAAAATATGAAGTAGAATACTATTCTAGGAAATAGTATTTTTTTATTATAAGCGGAGGACGTGATCATTAGCATCCCGTGCCTGTTGCTTCTGCGATGATAATTGGCTGAATACGCTGTATGATAATTCTACGTTATACTAAGATCAATTTTTAGTTATATATCAGTTATACTGTTAAATAAAGTTGGTTTCGTAGATTCGTTTTTGGATGTCCTAAATTGCCCCAAATTATCCTATATTTTTACTAATGCGAAAGCACTAGCGATTGACGTAACACTTTGGAAGCTTCAAGCGGCAGATTTAACGTATTCGTGATTAAATTGGTAACAGTAAAGCAAGTTAAGTTATATTTCAGTCATGGGTTGGTCATTAATATAAAGAAGAAATTGGTGCTACTGTAAAAAGAATGAACACAAAGCGCTTAAAACTCTGATATTAGTTTAATAAAAGATAACACGAAAATTGATAGCCATCTACATTTATTATAAAACGCACCTATTATCGTTATATGTTATTTATACGTTTTTCTAAGTTTTTTCATATAAAATTTTTAGCACAAATTCTTCACGTTATGGTTAGTATTTAGTGCTAGAATTAAGGTTGGGAGGGGTTTTGAGGGACGTAGAGCATTTTTGCTTAGAGTATCGCATATTAATTAATTAATCAGTTTTTTAGATAGGTGGTAAAACACTATAGGTGCATTTTAGTACGTAAAAGTGACCATCTATATATATAACTATAATTGGATTTTTATTTTAATTCCATTAACACAGTAATATATATCGAGACAAGGAATTAATAAATTATAAAGTTGATTTGAATCAAATTTAGGCGGATACTGTGTGAAGAACCAGGTATTGTATTTGGGGATATATTATATTAATTGTCCGAGGACTTACTATGGAGACAAAATGTCTTGGTTCCGCTCACGTGATACATATCCAATCAAAATATAACAGATCGACACCTTATCTGTTGCCGTTAATAGTCTGTTTTACTAGTTAGTAAATCAATATTCTTCCCGAATCTTATTCAAGAAACAGTTGGTAAGGATAGGGAAAATCATGGGGTTATTATTTTTGGGAACACTGTAAGCAGCGGTTACATATCACCTTACAATCATTTCACAGACATCTCTCTTTTTATAGACAATCGATTCTTAGACAAATTTAATTTAAAGACAATTAATTTACAGACAGTTCATTTTATAGTTCATTTTACAGACATTTCATTTTATAAAAAATCTTTAACACTGATTCAGGCTATTTGCTGTTAAAGATTGTCTATAAAATGAACTGTCTAGAACCGTCTGTAATTAACTGTCTTTAAAATATGTTTATGAATTGAGTGTCTATAAAACTAGATGTCCATAAAGTGATATTCTGTGAAGTAATACGTAAGGGAGCTGACAATTATCAGGTGATTTTCTGGGGGGGTCAAAAAATTTAGAATTTTATATATAAAACCTGATAAATTATATATTAAAAACTAGGGGGGGGGGGTAAGCCTCTGATAAAAAAAAATCAGGTGATAAATGACACTGCTCTAACCAGTGGCCAACGATAGCAGAAGAATCATCCATTTCCATTGATCTCTGATTCGTCACTTACCCAATTCAAACCTAAATCGAGACCATTTTACAAGGTGCTAATAGTAAAAATTTTAGAAAAAGCATATTTATTGAAATAAAATAGCAATCGATTTACTATCTAATGATAAAAAAGAAAATCTTATTTTTAAAAAAATGGGGTATTCCGAATTTTCAAAAACTATCTAAAAATTGTTTTTTCGGGATACACATCGCTATTTAAAATAACATATCCCCTTTTGTATTTTACTATGCTGATTTCTTCCTGAAATTGTCCAAAAAGGAAAAAGAGAAAAATAGCGTTATAACTACACCATAATATCTAATTTTACTCAAGTCTTGATCAGAATTGATTAATTTTGTCATTCAATTCTCATCATTTGTGAAAAAAAAAACAATTACTGATCGCCTATCGCTATGATAGTGATTATTTCACTTAACGTTAACGTTAATACAGTATACGTAGTACATATATAGTTAAGTAAAAAATTTGAGATTATCGCTATTTTCGGATACATAGCTTTATTTTAGAAGTTATCCTGAATTATAATCCTAAAATCAAAAAAACCTACCTTCCAACTTTAAGACAAAGCTATTTTGACAATTACTATACTTAATATTGATAATATTTCTAATAGATTTTTTATAGAATATCTTATTAAAATATATACTGTATGTTTTATAAACTTTATTAAAAAAATTTTACCGTTGCCACTGTATACAGGTATACAGTACCTGAGGTCTTATTCAAGAACTTCATTTTTAAAATTGAATTCAGCAATCAGAAGGGAGTAATTTATGTGGTATATAGATACTATTTTCGGGGACACGTATACAGTGGCCAACAGTGCTTTTATATTTAACGTTAATGTATTGGTTTTAGAACACAATTTTAAAAAAAAAACCAGAATATGATCAAAAAAAAAAGGTTATAGAGGCAACATGCGCATTTTTACCATACTATGCGTGGTTTGCAGAACGAACTCAACAATATCAGCTGAGATTTAATAACACTATATGCACACAATGTGCACACCATGCGCATGTATGGTTGCGAGCTCCATGCGTATGGTGCCCATCTCTAGTATAGAGTAACAGCATGGTTATACAATAATGTCTTTTTCAATAAGGTACTTTTTGATTTTAAAATTCTTCAGATAATGTCATTATTGTTTAATGTTAGAAACGGTCTAATTTTCATATTTACTTGCTTTCGAAAAAGATACTCTAAACTGTATACCAATCAGAAGATCTTTTAGTCTGACATTATTATTGGTTAAAAATTTCCGAAATTAAAAGCGGATATACTGTTAACAATTAACGTTAATATAATGCAGACGTTTTTTTAATATAAAAAATGCATGCGCAAAGGGGCTAACTAATTGAATTGAATGATTGTCAAATAAAAAGGGAATTTAATAATGTGCTATATAAGAATATATCTGATATATATTTATATACGTATATTTAAGTTTATACTGTTGCCAAATTACATATTTTAAAATAGCTCCTCCAAATATAGCACTAATTAAATAAGTTACAGCTCCATAAAAAATGTCAGTTGATGAAAATAAAATATAACTAAACAAAATTTATGCGTTAATTTTAAAAGTACAAAAGTTTGCTTGCGTGTTTAGTTCTAAATACAGTCAGACCTCTCTAAATGCACGTCGTCGGGACCAGCTCTAGCACGTGTATTTAGAGAGGTATTGCATTTAGGGAGGTAAAAATCTATAGATGTAATATTAGTTGGGCCCGAAAGAAGGTGTGCATTTAGAGAGGTGTTGCATTTAGGGGGGTAACATTTAGGGGGATAGCATTTAGGGGGGTCTGACTGTAACTTTTAAAATGATGTCAATGTATAAATTATGTTAAATTTATTTAATATGAAAAATAAATTAATTTAAACATTTTATAATCCTTTCTATTGCGGATTTTAATTTATCTGGTAACCGGTCTTGTTCTAATAATGAAGTTAAAGGCGGTAGAATACTTTCTTTAAGATATTGTTTTCCTGATTTAGACAGTATATTATTAGAAGAAATTTTAAAAGTAAAAAATTGGTAAAACATGTAATCCAAAAAAAAAAAAAATCATAATAAAAAAATAAAATACTCACGAGCTCCACATGAAGCCTTCACTGATTTCTCAAGTAACAAGCATACATTGCATTTAATTTCATCAGCATATTTATCCCGTTCACTCAATATCATATCAAATAATGTTTTAAGTAAGGGCGATATTAAAGAATGTTCTTGTTGTGTTGCTGCTGTTGATGAGTTTGAAGGAATCATTTCATCATTAACCACTGAATGAGTTATTGATTGTGATGTAGTATTGTCATCTATTTCTTTACATTCGTTTTTTGATGTCAATACATTTAAGGCAGGATTAGAATCTAGTTAATTGAAATATTAATAATTTTAGATACATAACTACAAATTTTATAAACTTAAAATTTTATAAGTTATTCTTAAAATATCACCTCCAGCTCCAGCCGAATCATCCATCAGTAGCAATGTTAAAGCAATTATACCTTCATTTTGAAGGATTGGGTATTTAGACTCTATAATCATGTTAGCAAGAGGTTGAACAACTTCTTGTCTATTCAATTCTGAACGCAATGAAGACACTGGTGTTCCTTCTATAAATATCAAAAACACCATATTATAAAAAAAATTTATTATGGATCTAGAGTAAACGATAGAAGTATAGGAATAGGTATATTACCTAATACGGTATGAGGATTTTCAACCCACATATTCTTAACAAGATTAACAAGTATTCGCGTTCCTTCGCTGCGAATGGGTAAGTCATCAGTACGCTTAACTAAATTCAATAGACGCGTAAGTGGTTTTTCTACATCATTTTCATTTTCTCCAAGAATAATTTTCAGGGAATTTTTAACTAATAGAAAGTAAAATTTCATAATAAAAATTAAAATTTTACCAACACAATCTGAATATATATAACGAATTATATATGGAGGATGTAAAACAAACCATTTTGAGATGAAAGATGTTTAAAAATTCCAACCACAGCAAATTGGAGAGGCTGAACAGTATCCTTTTCGAGTAACGGCGATGCAGCTCCAATAATTCCGGATGATCCAATAATATCTTTGTTTCCAGCTATTCAAATAAGTTGCAATAGGGTGGAAGTTTTAAAGAGTGTATATATATGTATACTTGAGATAGATATTCCTTAAGTTATTACCTGCGATTGATAAGTTCTTCAATGCGCTAATAGCAGCATGTTGTACTTTGACATTGCTCGAAGTTTTCAGGGCATTAGTAAGGGGCTCTACGATGTGAATATCGTGGACTAATTTTATACAATGTATATCTTTTTTTGATGTTAAAATCAAAAGAAAATTATAAATATATATATGTGAAATTTAGGGAGAGGCCAGAATGTGGAGCTAGATTTTATAGAAAATTAAAATATTACCACTTCTAGCGAGATTACCCAAAGACAATGCTGCACACATCTGTAGGTCATCACGTTCTGGTCCCAATTCTAGCCAATTAAGTAAGCGATTCAATATAGTTGTATCATCAAACAAAGGGTCCATGTTTTTATCTTAAAAACAAAGAAATATAATTACACAAATATTCAAAGATTAACTGCTAATCAACTAATATAGTGCAAAGAAGAATTACCACTCATTGTAGTCGAAACAATTACTTTCAACACGGCAGCTTTAGATTCACCATAAATCTTATCAATTCGTTGATCACACCCTTCTGGAGGTTTTGAATGTTCTAAAAAGTCCAATAAACTACAAAATAATTTATCTTTGACTAGAATTTGCTGCACTTCATCTTGTATAAATAAATTGAAAATGTTAAAAGATATTAATCGAATCTAATACATGAGAATAGTCTACTGTAAAACCGCGAAATAATGCATAATTGCGCGTTCTTTCGAGCACCTACGCGTTATTTAAAGTACGTTATTCCGAGATAAAGCTTCCGAGGCTGACTATTACTGTATTATAAATCCGCTAATATATTATATTATTTTGAAATTAAATAAACTATTTTTTAAAGGATTGGGATTTTCGAAATAACGATCATGATAGTTATTTCGCGGTTTTATGATATTAAGATCTATATGCTCACCGCTGTCTATAGCAATGTTTTCCAAAATTTCTACCACATTCTCAATAATGTCTACATCTTCACTTATTGCTTTATCTGAAGATGCATAAGAAAGCAGATGCGTTAACGCAGCAATCACTTCAGTAGTTGCACATTTCGATTTGCCTTCATCTATGAATTTAACGATTGTGTAAGTAATAATGTAGGTATCAAATAAATAATAAAAAATAAAATAAAATAAATCCCAACCGGTTCCTATTAAATTTGACAATACCCTCGTGGCAAAATAAACCGTCGTTCGTGCTATGTCAATACTTTCAACATACTTTTTCAAAATATTTTCCGGCTCAAAAAGATTGGAAAGCGCGATAATCCCATCTAATTTTATAATCTCAGAATTAACCTGATCTGATAAAATATGGATTTACATTTAATATTCATGAAAATATTTAAAATATTTGTAATTTCACAATGAACATCAAATATCACAAGAAAATACCATATTGAAGACCAGCATTTAATAATACAGCACAAGCAGCACGGATATTATCTAGATTTTCCTGCTTTCTCAAACATACGAGAACAGCATTTATACCACCTGAATCTAGAATTCTTTGACGATTTACATCTTTAGAGACAAATTGAAAATATGTTAGTTATAATAAACACAAATAAAATTTTTTTTTTACTTTTATTTACCGCTGTTAATACAAAAATTTGCGAGAGCTCGAAGGCATTGATAATCAATCGAATGATATGATTGGGAGTCATTAAGTTGCATAAATTGAACTATTAATTCTACAGCACCAGAGGCTCCAAGTGGATCGCGCGAAATTTCTATTTATAATAGTAGTATAAAATTAAAGTATAAGATAACTAGATTTAAAATTTGATAAATTCAGTATCAAAAAAGAAAATAGATAAAATATATTACCATTTTTCGCAAAATTTGCAATCATTTCTACTGTTTTTGAAACTTTAGACCAAGCATTTGATTTACTTTCCGAAGTCGAGCTCTGGTTTGATATTATTTTCTTGCAACTTTCGAGACCAGCGATTAGTGAAGGAAGAGACTGAATCAGTTCATTATCGGGATCTGAATAGTTCACAATAAAAAGAAGCAAAATCCCAATAAGTTTGATGTTAGTTTCCAAGTGAACACGATCGGAAATAAAAATTCTTGCCTTTTGAAATGTTTAATTGTTTAAATAAATCGTCGAGATTTTGATCGACACCATTCGAATCTAGAGGTTTGTACACATCATTAGCGAACTGTGATTCCATTTTTGACGAGAGAATTGCATAACAAACCTTACGATTACTTGAAAGAATTTTAGAATTTATATTGAACATCTAACCTTATTTGTGATTGGATAGTAAATATAAAAAGTTAGATCTGTCAGACCTGTCCAACAGAACATTTTTGGATACTTTGTTGCACTACTTTAGTCTCAATATGGAACTACGTATGTTACCGAATAGAAGCAACCAAAATGTTACAAAAAAAATGAGAACTTTTTCGAGCCAAAATGAAGGGGTTGCTTTTATTCGAGTACAATTTTATTAGTAAAACATAATAACTGTAGTCAAATTTTTGGGGTTGCTTTTAATCGGTAATATACGGTAACTTTATTTGTCATAATAAACTCAAAATTTTATGCAGTCTATTCATCCGCCTGTTCTTACTCCTCACCTGTCTCCCATTTTTCACAATTTTCTATGCTCTTATTAACATATCCGAGTTGTTTCTTCTATATATGCCACTTCAACGTTGGTTTTTCGTGAAAGATATCTCTAATAATAACTGTTTTCATCAATGTATTCTATATTACGTTACCAGAATCTTTCCCGTTTCAAACCAAATGAGTGAGCAAACAATAGGCACTCACTTTCCATTCGATCTACAGACTCAGAAAGCACTGGCAGCTACTGAAATTCCTGAAAAAACAAATACGATTTCTGCCGACAATGTTGACCTTTACACTAAAGGATGTCACGAGGTTGGAGGAAAAGGATTGCAGTTTGAGGATCATTTTGTTGTAAACTTTTACAATACGACAAATAATTCCAATGCTGAAATGCGCGTAAATCCTGAAACTGCAAATACAAACATACCTAAAACTACCAGAAATGTTTATTATCGAAATAACTCAAACACCATTAGGCCGTTCGAAGTTAATTTTTCGGTTAACATCACCCCTCCTTGGCGTCCCCCGGTAAAATGAACATATAAAAAAAGTAAAAAATTAAAAAATACCGTATAACCACGAAATACCGTCATACCTATTTATAATCACCTCCTATATAATCACATTATATAAAAACTTTTTATAATCACACTTATATCTAAGACAAGAACATTTTTTCATATCGACGGATTTGTAGAATAATGAGCCGTAACTCTGGTTAAATTTGCAGATCATTTGGCCTGGTTTGAAATCATTTGACTTCAAAGCTGGCCCAATGATCTGCAAATTTGACCATAGTTACAGCTCATGAGTTTTTCTATTTATCAAATTCCACAAATCCGCCGATATGTAAAAAAGTTCCTATGGTCCCAAAGGTGATTATAAAGAGGTATGACTGTAACGCTAGGGTGATCAACACTCTAATAAAATCAAACAATAGTTATGAACTATATGTTTAATTATTATGTGCGGATTTTTAAAGGTTAATTTCAGATACTTTTTGTAATAACTTTTAGAAAAAATCTATTCTAAGTTATTGCAAAATTGGTTCCATTACGGCATAGAGCTAGTCTAGAACTAGTTTAAAAAAAAATGTGATGCAATTTTGTATGTTAGTTAGGTGCGAATTTATATATAAATGTGAAATTAACCTTTAAAAAATCCGCACATAATAATTAAACATATAGTTCATTAGAGTGTTGATCACCCTATTGTATCGCGATGTGGTGTGGTTTCGAATTTCGGCCTAAATTAAGCTTAATTCAGGTCGAAATTCGAAATAACTCCCTTCGCGTTTATACGGCAAATATAAAATAAAAAATAATTTAAAATAAAATAAAATAAAATAATTTAAATTAAATTAAAATAATTGAAAATAAATTAATTTAATAAATTAAAAGTTTAATTAAACCCGTGCTTTTTATGGCCCCGGCTAATTAAAATAAAAAATAAAAAACAAATTTTTTTTTTAAAAAAAAAACGAGAAAAAAAGACAATTAATAAAAAATAAATAAGATTTTGGTTCCCACTTGGCTGTCCTCTCATATATGTTTATTTCAGTTTGTGATGATTCAAGAAAAACTGCCGAAAAAAGATCTTCCGAAGTGTTTTTTTATTCAGAGAGAACTAGTATTAACGAGTAAGAAATATTTAAATAAACATTTAACTTCTACGGAAATAACAATTACAAATCAATTATTCGAATCGATACTTTTTTACATTTTTTCAGCCATCCCGATCAGTAATTTATTTTCATTCAAAATTTGTATTCAGCCAATAGGAACTTGGTGGATTAGTAAACTCAAAATTCCGATCTGTGATCCAGGGACCGTAAAAATTTGGAAACAAATAAATACAAATAAATACAAATTTCTAGCAAATTCCCAATAAATACAAATTTCCCAGCATTATCCAAAGAAATACAAATTTTCCGGTATTTTCATAGAATTCTCGATTTTGATTGGTTAGAATAGATTGTCAAAATCGCAAAACCAACTATATAATACAGAATCAATTCACCATGTTTGCTGCTTCTAATAATAGTTATTAGAAATTTCAAACCTGATGCTATCGCTATGAGAATTTTGGGAAAAAGTTAAACCAAATTTCCACTTCTAAGTACAATTGCTTTTGATTATATTTGGTTACCTATTTTCTTCATGTAGTGTAGAATGTAGTTTCTCAATTTATAATAATATTTTACAAGATAATAGACATAATTTGAATCTTGAATCTTTTAAATACTAAATTTGTTATATTTTAATAGAAGCAATAAATAAAATTTTATGCTTTATATTAATTTTTGCTAAGTTTAAAAAATATTATCCAAATTTTTATGGGTCCTTGCTGTGATCGCTGCATACATGCTTTAAAAAATGATGCAGATTCAATCACTAGATCATAAGAGTTTTGGCTATAAAAATTGTATGTATATACATACGAAGTTTTTTTCTCGGATGAATGAACTATATAATTAGGGTTTTATTTTTTATTGCATCTGCAATGTATTGCACCCTACTAAAATTTCACTAGGATAACGCCTGTTATGTAACTAACAAAAAATGATTACCTAACCCTAACATCTTCCCCAGTATCTCCAGAAAAATTTTTACTGTCACGTGATACTATATAAATATTTTAAGTTCGTTTATATTTTGTTAGGGATAACTTTTTGTTAATGCGCAGAAAGTGATTTCGAATTTTGAGTTATGGGCGATTATTGCTAAACGAACATTTGTTTTGAACTTTTCTGATCGCGTAACGTTACTTTTCTGGCGATCCTGGGGTAGTTTAACCCTAACCCTAACCCGAACTAATACTAATCCAACCCTAATTATTATAGGGGTGCACTCTAACTCTAATTATTATAGGGGTGCAATGTATTGCATCGTGCAATAAATTATAAAATCCATTATTTACTTATTTATTTTTTGCTCCTCTCTTTTATAATAGCAACTCAGAAGTCAATTCGTTATAATAGATTTACTACATTAAAAATAGTTTGTTCATTTTATATGTTCGTTTCATTTGCCCCCTCTCCCCCCCTTTCGAGAGTTCTGCAAAGTGATGTTAACCGAAAAATTAACTTCGAACGGCCTTAGTACAAGTTCCAGCGAACGTTTTTTTAATCGAATAAGGCCTTCTCCACAAACATTATCCACCATAATTATCCCTATAATTATACTTATATTGGGTATTTTTATGGGTTTAGCCGTATTTTTCGTGATACTAGGCCAAGAACGTAGACGGTATAGGTTGGATTTTGGATTTTATTGCGAAGAAAGAATGAATGCTATTATTTCCGGTTTCTGGAAGAATCTGGCCACTGCAAAAGATTTCTGCGCTTTCATGTCTGTTACTCCAAATGTTACTCGTGAGATTGTCAACAAATATGGAAACCTTTCTTCTATGACTAACATGGTAACTAATTTAAAAAAATAAAATAAAATAAAAATAAAAATTATATAAAATAAACTAAGAGCAAAAGGGATAAGAACACTTTTATCATCATTGTTAGAAATTGCCTAATTGAAATGAAATAAAAGAAAATGGATAAATGTGTACTGATTTGTAATTCATAATTTTGATAAATGTGATGAATCTTGAATATTTTATAATTATATAAATTAATCTCTTCTTTAAGGCATACATCTTATATAGTTTAATATCACATTTTAAAATAGTCGAATATTATGATGTCCCCTCTTGCTCTTCCTTTTTTTTCATTATTATTATTTTATTTGATCTAACAACCAATGCAATTTTTTTTTTTTTTAATAATAGAACATTCGATCAGTTACTTTTGCTCCACTCGTTAAAGGCGTCGATCGTTTGTCTTGGGAAAAAGATAATGCAATAATAATGAAGCAATATGATAGTCATGGTCAAGTAGTGACCCGTGAATATAATATATCAGCAGAATATTTTCCTCTTCAATATATTTTACCGTGGAGAACTGATTCAATTAATGCAATTGGATTTGATGTTTACTCTCAACCTGAGAGACAAAGATCGGTTGATATAGCAAGACAAACGAAAAACGTTTCTGTTACTAGTTCTGTTCAACTCGCTTTCAATACTTCAGTTAATGGAGTGCTTGTCTTCTTTCCATTCTTTAAGAACTTAACAAATCCAAATTTCATACCCCCGGACAGAGATATTGATGGGCTGGTCATTGGAGTCTATGATATTAATCAATCATTTGGAAAAATAATGAGTCAATTTCAAGATGTTGGCTTAGCAATTAAAATCACTGATCTTGGTTATGATTCTATGATTTATGATTCTTCAATGCCCGGTGTAAAGTATCAGGGCAATTTTATTGTGGAATATGAACATAAATTAGCAGATCGTAACTGGACATATCAATGCATGCCAAAAGAAAGTTCATATAATTATGCGGTTTCAAAAACTATGCCTGCTGTATCCTTGGTACTTTTTACATTGTTCTTTGGATTATTAGGCTTCCTCACTTCTAGATACTTCCGGAAATATTTGAGTGCAAGAGACAAAGTTAGCATACAAACTCAAAAACTAGGTATAACTCAAAATTTATTAAAAGCAATTACAGCAGACAGCAAAGCTGTATTAGAAGCTATCGCTGATCCGCTGATTGCTCTCAATTCCAAAGGTGAAATAGTTGGTGCCAACGAACACGCGCTTCGTTTAACAGGTTACTCTCCTCATGATATTAAGGTTCAAAATAGAATGCACGTATATCAATTATTGCTTCCCGTAGTTGAAACCCCAGCTGAAGAACGTGAAATTTCAGATTACGATCCAACGCAAGTGCCGGTTCGTCCCGGCATGCGGGATGTTATGGCTCGAAGAAAAGATGGAACTTGTTTCGAGGCTGAGGCAAATTTTTCACAGCAAGTTGTAGAAAAGAATTACTTCACTCAAGTTGTAATGTTTAGAGACGTGAGTTTTAAAAAAGAAAATGAAAGAGCTGTCATGGATGCAAAAAAAGAAGCCGAAATGGCAAATCAATCTAAAACAGAGTTTCTTTTCTTTTTATGTCACGAGGTATAATATTCTGTTTATTTATTTATTTATTTTATTTTTATGCTACTAATTATTAACAAACATGATTAATTTATATATATATATATTTAATAGATTCGTAACCCTATACATGCTATCTTTGGTTTTGCTGAAATGCTAAAAAATTCATTTAAAGAAAAGGAGCAAGAAGAATTGGATTATATTATGTCTGCAGGGAAATTTTTGAGTTTTATTGTTAATGACATTCTTGATCTTACTCATTTGACAAATCCCAATCCATATGAGATAGAATTGAAATGTGAACCATTTGAACTTCATGTTTTAATATCAAATGTAGCAAAGATTCAATCAGTCGCAGCGACAAATAAAAAAATTAATATAAAGTCAATCATACATGGTGATATTCCACGTAATATATCTGGAGATGCTCGACGTATAGAACAAGTCATTAACAAATTGATAGCTCGATCAATTGAAATTGCACCTGAAGGTGGAATTGTCGAATTAGAAATACAAGCTTTATTATTTCATTATGCGCGGGGTGTATTATTACGATTTTCAGTATTGGATGAAAGTGAGGGTTTATCATCAGATAAAGAAATATCTGAATTATTTAAACCTTACTCTAAAACAAATTCATCAATAGGTTCTAGATTTCATGCACAAGGCCTTTCTATGGCATTAGCACAAGCTATTGTTAAAGTTATGGGAGGGAAACTTCATGTTGATAAATCCTCAAAAAAACAACCTGGAAATCGAGTGTGGTTTGATATTTGGTTACGTACAGATGATAAAATTATACGGGATAATTTCAAACGTGGATCATTTGACGCCGCAGTTAGCCCTACTAACTCAACTGATGAAACATATATGGATTATTCAGCAGAATTTAAGGCGCAACTTCGCAGTTCAAGAAGCATATCACTTTCAAAATCAAGACACTCCATTCGTCCTTATAAAAGTACACTTAGAAGAAAACGAAGACAACGTTTATCTAGTGGTGGTGAAGAATCTGATGATGGTAATAATAATAGTATAATTAAAGGAAATTTCTTTCAGCGTAATGGGTCAGTTAGGATTTCTGGTACTGGATTTGGCGGAGCTGGTTCTTCACATCAAAATAACACAATTATGAATGACAAAAAAACTAATGAAGAATCAGTGAATGATTCTATTGATAGTGTAAGTGTAAGTGTAAGTGTAATAACACCTACACTACCACCCATAATAAATTTTTATCCTGATGACAAAAATCAAGATGATACAGAAAATTTAAGCGAAGACAACCCTTTTACACAAGAACCTATGTACAATTCCTCATTACGAACACCTTCTATAAAACTAAAAAGCGAAGCATCTATAATAACGCCACCTAGGTCACCTATATCTTTAAATACACAAAATGCAACATCTAGTCAACGTTCAGTCGCTATAGATGAGCATTCTAATCAACATTTTTATATTAACATTCAAAAATCACCAGTTCAAGCAATAATATCATCAAAAAATACACCACTCACACCACCATCATCATCACATGCAGCACATCCGCCATTATTAGCAACATCTGATCAAACAGAAAATAATACAGTAGATAGCAGTAATGTAAATGTTACACCATCTATAGTATCTCTTTCTTTACCAACGTCACAAACTTATCAAGTAGAACAATCATTACCACAAACATTAAAAGTACTACTTGTTGAAGATAATCTTATATGTCAACGGGTAACTTCTAAAATGCTTTCACGTAATAATTATTTCGTAGATATTGCTAATAATGGCAAAGAAGCTATAGATATGGTTGAGGAAGCAACAAACATGGGAGGTTATTCATGTATATTGATGGATATCATTACACCAGTTATGAATGGATATGAAGCTACAAAATTATTGAGAGAACGAGGTGTAGACATTCCAATATTGGCATTGACAGCCAATAGTTTTAACAGTGATTTTAAAAAGGCTATTGATGTTGGAATGGATGCGTTCCTAACAAAACCCATTAAGGAAGAAGTAAGTGAATTAAAAATATTTCTTTTATTATTTACTTTTATATAATACAATTATATAATACAATTTTTTTTCTTTCTTTCTTTTAGGAATTAATTGTTGCAATAAAGAAAGAGATTGAAAAACACAAAAGTCGACATCATGATTCAGAAGAGACTAATAACAATATAGAATCATGACATATTTTTACATAATATTAATGTTAATGAATAGATTTGACTCCATGTATTTTGTACATTTTAATAATTTTCTGTTACAATTTTATTTATTTTCTGTTACAATTTTATTTAAATTCTAATCATTGAACATTTGGGTGTTTATGTAATATGTAGTGAATTTATTGTGTATATAATTATTCATTTTTCATATACAGTTATTAGAAATTTTGAAATACAATTATTTAATGCACTAATTAAACCTATACCTGTAATAATTTAAGAAGAAACTGAGTAGATTATAACCCGGTTGTAAAGTGAAATAAACTTTCTTTTTAATACATATATTTAATGTAAAAAAACATACTATACTGTATACAGTATATCAGATATTTAAATATTATAGTTTAATCTCTAGATCCATTTTTAATTACGTATATATTATTAAATCCGGATTTACAGTAAAGACTTTGTATATTTATAATAATTTAATCCGGATCTATGATTAATTTGGATATAAATGATTAAATCCGGATACAGATCCGGTAAGAGGAATTTTTTTTTTTTTTCTAGTTAGTCTAGCAGTTTGCGTTAGTACGTAGGTAGATCTGTTTAACAAACAATATCCGCTCTTAATAATTACACGACAGGTTAGACCTGAGCTGGGATCCGCTTTTTATATATAACCAGATGCATAGCCGTGGGGCGGGCAAAAAATCTTGCATTTAAAGAGATATTGCATTTAGAGAGATAAAAATCTGTGTCATATGAGTTGGGGCCAAATAAGGCCATTCATTTAGAGAGGTCTTTTATGGACTACGCATTTAGGGAATATGTTTTAGGGAGGTCTGACTGTACTGACTGTACTGGCTGTAATAAAAAACACAAACAAACGCGGATTTCACTAGCTCACAACTTGTTCTACTGTTATTGTTACTATTATGTGACGGCAAAAAATGGGCTATCAGCGAATTGTCCTAATACTGGTTATTCGTATCATGATCAAGATTGACTATTTTCTCATTGAGAAAAAAAAAAAAGTTAATTGAGGTCTGAATGGATAACTATCTATTGGTTCTCTATCGCTAAAATTGATCATGATGATTACTTTGTTAAATGGAGAAATGTATTCTTTTATTAATAAATGAATTTGCCCGTCTTATATGATTAATTGTTTGTATTATCACCAGTGCTGGAAAAGTATTTACTCATACATAATGGAGCTTCTCGGAGTAATTCGAGTAATTTGTAAAGGATATAATAGTTGATCGTAAAATAGACCATTGATTCGAGATACTTGAGTACCGGAATACTTTTCAAAAATGGTAGAATTTGCAATTAATAATAGTACCGGTACCCCGATACTATTTAAAGGGAAGTGAGTACTGTATGCAGTGCTTTACAATAACTTCCATATGTAACTTACTTGATGTTCTATGTTTGCAGCTTAGATACATATAAGCAGATATGGATAAATGCAAATTTTTATTACATGCATGCATGCATGCATGTATATATACGTATAATATATTTAGATTTTGCATTTTAATTAAATTTATATCGTAATATCTGTATGTACAAAAATTAAATTACTTATTATATTTTACTTATTATATTTATATGCATTTGTTATTGCATATAGCGCACATATGCATGCATGTTCATTTATGTAAAATAAAATCATAAAGAAATCTAGAAAAAGAACTTGAGGTCTGACTTCTCTTAAATACAGAAATATATTTAGCTATATATTATGTATATAACAATATGAGTGACAGGAAGAGAAAACCTGTAATTCTAAAAATAAATTATTATAAAATTCATTTAATCTATTTTTAGGATTACAAAGTTTTCTCTTTCTGTCACTTATATATAGTAGAGATTGGAACTGCCTAAAAATTTTCTAACCGCTTAACCGTTTAACCGTGTTAATCGGTTAATTAAGATAATTTTGGCCCATGTCCAAGATAATTCAGCCCGAAATAATTGTTTCGATACGACAATTCAATGAATCCAAATTATTAAAATATCGATATAACCCAATTTCTTTGAAAATAGAAAACCAACCATATAGTCTGGTTTCACCAGTATTTCATCCAAGTACTATCATTTAAAAAAATATGTGTTAACAATTTCAAAATTAGTTATCATATATACGTGTATTTATATCAGGTATATGGGTATGTATTTTATACGTATGCGATATATTTTACAGACTAAATTGTAATTAAATTACAAAAAAAGGTTTTTTTTTCTACATACGCATCATGTATATATATATATGTATAAATATATTTTTTTTTACAATAAGAAAAAAAAGACTAACAGAATAATTTTTTTATAGATTTATTACGTTGAAGTAGTGTATAATTCTAAAGCTAACACTAACCAATGTTATAATCCAAATACTGAAATCGGGTTTTATTATCGATTTCACCCCATTTTTATATGTATCACTATCATTAGAGATCATGCTAGGTATATACGGATTCTGATAATCTACAGTCGCATACCTAAAATATTTTCAATTAAAAAATCAAATGTTAGAAAATCTACGTATGTAAATAAAAAAAATTATTGACATGTTTTTAAAAAATTTACCCTAATGTTTCAAGAACCAATTTCAATTTAGGCCCAATGGGATTGTTACCATTGGTTTTATTTTCTAGTGTTATTTTTTGATCTGCCAAGAACTTCATTAAAAAGTCACTCGTACTGTTATATGTTGTTAAATCAACGTGACTAATGCTTGAACCTTCTGTATAAGGTTTTAAACTTGTTTCCAAAATGACAGCATCAGATGCATTCGTATATCCATGTGGTAAAAATCCAAGAGAAAATGGTGTGATAGCTTTTTTCATCATATCAAGTGAAATCTTATATTGAGGTGATGCCTTAAATTTTGATGCAAAATTTTGAAAACTAGAAAACTGGTTGTTAGATTTATTCGTAAATTTATCAAGTTCTTTTGTAATAATCGTTGAAATTCGCTCTCCGGTTGGTATGTATATCATGTATTTATCAAATGCTGATTCTAAAAATCTATTAAATTTTGTTGATATAACTGGTGTCAATGCTTCAGGTCTATAATTAATATAATCATCCCAATTAGATACAAAACCTAATCCGTGAATAATTTCATGCAAAGCTACTAATAAAAAGTCTTGCTGATAGCTTTTTATTTGGGGATCCCCGGTAAACCAAAAGTCTGTGTCTTTAGAGTTAAACATTGCCAAAATATCAAATTGGCTATATTCTGGGTGTTTGTCAAATTGAAATTGTTTGACAAGAGCTTGTGGATATTCTCGTATACGACCATCATCATCTTGTAATTGTATAGTACGTGCTGGTATCGCACCACCTAAAATTATGAAAAATTATGAAAAATTTAGTTGTCACCGAAAAAACAAACCATCTATTACTTTGTCAACAATATGAAATTTATGTCACTTGAAACATACCTAATGTTATATATTGAGAACCACTATCGCACTCGCCCAAAGCAGTGCAAAAATCGACAAAACTAGCGTTTACGGTTATCGGGGAATTTAGGATCAAAACAGATGTTATTATCGTTCCTATTTCTTCGAATTGGTTTTGAACTTTATTACACAACGTTATATTTGTTGTACCACAATTAAAGGTAACTTCGAACTTGTTCGCTGAGGATGAGGATGAGGATGTCACCAGTTTCTGTTTAGGGATTTTCTCTTCATTTATTATGGGACAATCTACAGGTACTTTATAGCTTCGATCTAAGGGATTGGGATAATCGTAGCATTGCGTACATGCATCATTACCGAACGAATATGTTATGTAAAACAAATCTAATGTTATTATCGTCAAAAACGACGATATTTTCATCGTTATTGTAGTTAAAGAAAACGTTAAAATGATAACATTTTTTTATTTTTTATTTTTTTTAATTAAATTGCAATATTCCATTTTTATTATTTTAATATTCATGAGTTTTACAAAATCCATTAGGTGTTGCAAAAATATTTTTATTACTACATTGTACGGAATGATCTTTATTTAGTTTAATAAATTACAAAATTAGGTCCAAACAAAGTAACCGTTCATCTTTTCTAAACACTTTTAAAATGAATTTATATTCGAGTGTGAATATGCCATCCCTCTTAAGCTTCGCATCATTCTATTTACTGTTCTCAAAGGATATTTCGTTTCTTTTTTATAGATTTTGACTGAATAATCGTATTCTTCTGGCCAAATGGTGATGATCCTTTAGTTATTATAACCTTGATTTCGTTGGTTCGATTCAATTCAATAACGGTTGTGCCCGCCCACTGTAAATTTGGTCAATTAAATAGTAAATTGCTGATTGTGATTTGTTAACCTTAATAATTGTTATGATAGATCAGAAAAAACTCTCTTGAACAGCTATTATTAGATTCTACACGGTCTATTAAATGTCATTAAATCAATCAATTCGCCTGCCCCTATTACAGTATTTATTTGTGTATATGTTTACCATAGTTTGCATAATATATAGTGCAAAAACGTAGATAAAGGAAAACCTGTCATCGGACTTTCAATAATATTTTGTGTCTATGGAAAATCTATCATACAAAATATTATAGGTTATAGTTAATATCGATATTGTGTAATCTACGTCACGCAACCAAAATTCAGCGGATCGGCTGAAGTACTAGCGTCATTAAGCAAAATATCAGCCAACCAAAATTAGTATCTGGCCAATTTCACAGCTACTGGTCCATAGTAATATTTTGAACAATTTTAGGCAAAATTCATCAATTCCGACCCTGAATTTTGGTTGCGTGAATAATCTATTATTGCATCTAACGTAGTTGAGCCTGCCAGCTATGCACATTTCATGCGCAGTCTACCACATTGAACCTAGGTGCCGCACAAAAAATGCGCGGCAGTAGGGTTCCTACAAATCAAACTCAAATCAAACTTTAACTAAGTTTGAGTTTGATTTGAGTTTGAAGCATTAAAGTTTGATTT